TGTGTGCATCAATCAAAATTTTAGCTTAACTAGCACTGCAGGTACTTTGTACAAATCATATGTTTTTTCCTATTTTAGAATGTATGATTAGGTTGTATATTATTCTTACATGAGATACTAGTGCATGTCGGTACCATGTTATCAAGTATCAATTGGAATGCCTGCTACTGTAAGTGCAAAATATTTTCCATATCTATTAACCTAAAGATGTATACCCTGGTTATAGAATCAGCTAATGTGAAGTTATATGCAGAAACTACACAGCACTAGATTTCACAACAGTATTATTACTACAATACCAATGTTCTCTTATTCATAATATCAATTCACAAACACTTCCACCCTATCTTTATGCTCCTAGTGGAACGTAGGTAAAATGGCAGGGGTAGATAAACTTTTTTTAGAAGATATTCACACCATGCTATTCTGTTATGTTTGATTTTGAGTGAGATGCATTCCTTCGAATCTGCTGACTCAAAAAGTATTTTTTTCTTTGTCACCTTTGTTGCAGCAACTATTGGCCAGACAAATAAATCAGCTCATTTTACTGCTACTAGGTCCAGCCAAAGTAGAGTCCAGAGTTCTACTGCAGGGAAATCTCATGAAAAGAAGGCACCTTCGGCTCAACCTGTCAACAGGAACATTGCTATAGGAGATCATGTTCCACCGGGAGCAGCAGCATTTTTTCAACAGGAACCCTGCTTCTCCAATCACAATACGATAGTGAAAAATGTTCAACTGGTTCTGCACCAACCTGCCAACCATCCTAGCTGGACGGTACCATCAACTGAGTATATGCATGCTCGGCTGGACTGTCAAATATGTAAAACATTTATCACTGATGTGGAGAGTTTGCTCGTTTGTGATGCTTGCGAGAGGGGTGTACACTTAAAATGTCTAAAGCAGGATGGGAATGAAGGCCTGTCAATTGTAGATTGGTATTGTCCAACCTGTGTAACGTATAGTAAGGGCAAACCTCTGCCTCCAAAATATGGCAAGGTTACAAGAACAATTGTTACATCAAAGGCTAGAGGTGTAACTTCGCAGAGAGCACCAGGAAACCCACGCACAAAAGATAGTGAAGAAGTGGCAGGAAATGGAAGTTTCATCAAGCATAACTCCAGTGAACCTGGTAGGTCTGTACGTAACAGTGACATGTTGGCCTTAGACACTGCTAGTTCAAAAACACAATCGGCCTCTGCTTCTGAATATCAAAAGGAAAACACTAAACATACTGACACTCTGTTCAAACAAAAGGAAGGACATGGCCCACCTTCAAGAAGCTTAGTTACAAAGACCATGGAATCCTCCAGTCAAATTGAAAGTAGTGGAGGATCAACATATAGTGCTGCTGGAAATCTGTCGGAACAGTCTCATAAGCAAAGAGAGATAATTGAGTTACTTCCATGTGCTGTGAATTCAGTAAATGATTCCACACTGCAGACTACTGCAATTTTTGACGGGGGGAATTCCGAACATTCCTTCATTGACTCATCTGAAATGTGTGGAATAGAAGGAAACTCTGACCAACTTCTGAACAAGGACGAACAAACAACCAGCAGCAGTATAACACCAGCAGATCAAACACATCAAGAAGATGTAGCCGCTGATATTGGAATAGGGTGTCCTCAGGATGATGAAACAACAGAAGTTAATGCCATGTCAGAACATAACAATGTGTATCTGGTGAAATCAAACATGGACTTATGTGCTAAGCACGAAGTTATGGCAGGTCCAAAGAGTGAAGCTTTAGGTTACAGCTCAGATCTTGGTGATGTGGATTGGGTTGGCGATGCCCTGAAAGTTGTGGGCAACATAACTTATTATAACTCCTGTATTGTTGATGGTATAACATACAATCTCCAAGATCATATTTTGATTGGTTCCAAAGATGGCAAGTCTGCTCCATCCAAGCTGCAGGTATATTTCCATTTTTGTATTATTCCCTCGTGTATAGTGTAAATTTAGACCTGTTTGCATGCTAGGATGTTGAAAGGTTAGCACTCCCCTCTTCGTATGTCAAACACTGTTTATCGTAGAGTGTGTATTCTCTGTAAAACAGTCTTTTCTGCTATCTTTTGCAGTCACTGTGGGAAGAGCATGACTCCCAATCTAAGCTGGCTATGGTTAATACATATTTCTTTGCTTCGGACATTCCAGAATCGGCTACCAAACCATGTTCTCCTGAAGAGAATGAGGTGAGCCAAGCGTTTTGATGAAACTGCAAGTCAGAATTTGGGGTTAGATAGAAAATATTTAATCCACATGTGCCAAAAACCACAACCAACCTATGTTGTCGTAGATGCTAATAGTTTGTTCGTTTTCCTTTGTGGTGGTGTCTTCTTACAGGTATATGCTTCAAATGATCAAAGAACAGTAATGGTTTCTTCAATTTGTGGCTCATGTGATGTGTTGCATGTTGACAAGTTTAGAGAAGAGACTAATAGAAGAAATCAGGTGGTCAGTTCAGATAGTAAGCTACATCCAATTTTCTTTGGCAGGTTTGTTTCCAATCTTCTGATATACTATCTTGTATTAGTATGATTAGTTAAAACTTGAAATCAGAAATTTATTGTAACTTTGTGTAGCACTGGAAATAAGTGATGTTCCTGTAGCTTTGCTTGGATTTAATAATTAGAACTACCCACACAAATAATAAGTCAATGACACAAAACAAAACAGGGTAGTGGTGGCTGAGTGGCATCTGTGGGATGAATCATTAAGCCAGCCCAGTTTTATAAACGGCTGATTTTGGTTTGTTTCTCAGTCCTTATACATTCCTTGATTCCTACTCATTTTGTAATTTCTCAGCTAATTGGAGAAGAAAGTTTTGTAATCTTCAAATGAAAAGAACACTGGAAGCTTGTAACACATCATTTCCTACTTTGCCTGACTACTGTGCTGGTCGTTGGGTCGACTTCCACTATTGGTCATTTTGCAACCGTTTTGCTAGAAATGTTTAAGAATTTTGTCCCTATTATCCAGATTGCCACTCATGATTCAATAGTCACAGAAGGAGTTGTACGAACAGGCTGCAGTGAGGGACAGAGTGTTATTAGCACAAGTTGAGAGATAAATAGCATGTAACAATTCCCAATCATGCATTTATTTTTCCATAGTTCAACATGGAAGAAAATGAACCACCTAACTTGGAGGGCTGCCGAACCATGATTTATTTGTTGATCCAGAGCAGGGGTGCATCACATTTGCCGAATCATGTAGTGACCTTGTATATTCTGCAAGATTTTGATTCTGCTAGCCAAGATTGGTTGGGTTCTTTTGTGATCCTAGATGGCAATAATGTACATCTGGATCGTGCTCTTGACTCTTGACTAGTAGTAATATACTCCCTCCGTTCCTAAATATAAGTCTTTTCAGAGATTTCAATATAGACTACATACGTATGTATATAGACATATTTTAGAGTGTAGATACACTCCTTTTGCTCTGTATGTAGTCCATATTGGAATATCTAAAAAGACTTATATTTAGGAATGGAGGGAGTAGGATGCAGTAGTATAGTTGAACTATGAAAAGATCATTGTACGGATCTTAGTTTGCTCAATCACTGTTTTCGTGCCCATCACTGCCAACACCGTAGGCGCAAACTCCCTGACAGATTGATCCTCGATCCATTGACTCTAGTATGTTATTGAGCCCGGGCCTCTTTACTGTACCGCTCAAGAGAACGATTGGAGTCCATCTTATGCGTGAAATATTCTATGCTGTCCACACAAAAATGTTTCTGTTGAAGCCATTTTCTGAAACCTTATTGGAACTTTAAGGAGTCATATTATACATGAACTGGTTATTAATGATGGGTGTTAACACAGTTTCAAGTATTGTCTTGTATTCTCATTCAGACGTAAAATTTTATTAGCCACTCCCAACAGAGGTAAGCTAACTATGTATCCAATTATTTTGCAGGTGGAAGTATGATGAATGCACAGGCAATTTTGTTAGTGTAGATAGTTCGATGGGTTTCTGACATTCTTTTGAATCACAGTTCACAACTGTACATTGCCGTTCGTCTCTCGTTCCAGCCATCTTGCTGGATGTATATGTGAAGGATGAAGCTGAAGTGAGGTTCATATGCACAGTTACTATATTATAGAATGATGTGTACTGGTTCAGATCTTGCTGCGGGTTTGCCTCCTTGCTTCCTATCGAATTTGAGCTATTTCCTGTGGAGTTGTTGCAAAATTCAGACCCTTGATTTACTTGGTACCCTTAAAAATCATTTCACCTTCTGCATGAGATGTCGATGGATGCTCGATGAGCTACCTGGCAGAGAAGTTGTTTTGCCATTTGATGCCCAAATTCAACGTTATGAGCAACTCTAGAATAGTCACCATATAGGATATGAAGCATGCTTCATATGGATATGGAGGCCGTGGTGGATGTGCGCAGAAGTTGCCTTAATGCGGCCTCCATATCTTTTCTTTTCTATTCATTTTTTGGTTGCATCAACTCAATAATCACACACTCCATTTGAGGGATTAAATATCATTGCATTACAAAGGCACATAGGGGTAGAAAAGTCAATTTGAGGGATTAAAACACTATTTTGAGATAACATTGCATTACAAAGGTGTTACATGGGTGTAGAAAAGTCCATTAGCGACATGCAAAGAATCATCCATGAGATTTATTACCTTGCAGAGTGGGAATCTTCAACATTTTATTCAGGTATAAAAATGGCTGGTAATCAAACCAGAAAATAGCAGGCCTTGAATGAAGCAAACTGTATCAACAACCATCACCACTCGAGGATATGCATTCCAAGCAATGGCCAAATATAGCCTTATCACAAAACTCTGGAAACAAATGACTCAATGTGACACACGAAACAGTTTGCTAAAGACCTTTCATCTCCTAGATTTGTGTAGCCACACCAGCGATCTTGTATCTATGCAACCAGGCAACACCTCCATCTCCATGTTGGTCGTAATTACAGTATAGCGTATTTACACAAGATGTCTTCTCCGACGACCAGGCAGCTAGTGAGTTTCTGCAGAAGGGTTCGTCAGGAGATCCAGCGCGCGCTTCAGGTGCTCCACGGCAATTGACACGTCATCAAACGCAAGAGCACCGACGGCAAATCTTGCTGCTTTGTGAGCCTCAGCAATCTTCTCGACTGCCGGCTGGTAATTGCTGTCATACGCGTATTGGCTAGCTGGTGGCGCAGCAGGAGGGGTAACCTGGTGTGTAGCATCAGCACTCGGATGGTACTGCGTTGGTGCAGGATGATTTGATGCCGGAGGAGAGTATGATGGAGCAGTTGGCACACCACCATCACTAGCAGGATGGAATGAAGGTTGATGGGTTGTGACAGAAGGTAGTGTGCTGTCCTGGAAGCTTGGGTAAGACTGGAAATTAGGGTAGTTGTATGGAGCAGGTGGGGTTTCTGTAGCGTAGTAGTTTTGAGAGGTGTGCTGGGGTTCAATTGTGTAGGGTGGCTGGTGGTACGTCTGAGGATAAGCTGAAACATCCGGCTTATCATTGCTCTGAGGATTGTAGCCATCATCCGAAGGATGGTCTGCTCTTGTGTACGGGGGTGGTGAATAATTGGATGGTGGTTTATGGACCTCATTGGTAGGGTAGTCTGTGCTTGTGTACGAGGGAGATGAATAATTGGGGTGTGGGGTGTGGACATCAGGAGGAGGGTAATCTGTTCCTTGGTATGAGGGAGAGGAATAAGATGAATGTGGTGGGGGTGAAAACTGGGACTGTGGAGATGAGAACTCGGACGGCGGAGGTGGTGGTGAAAAATGTGCCTGGGCAGAGACATGATCATTGAATTTCTCTGCACCTTGTCGAGAAGATATATTTCCTGGCTGGACAGCAGAAAAGCTATCCCTCCTGCTAAAATCCTGTATACAGGAAGATAATAAAATTAAGAAAACTAAAACTTCTTCAACAATCCCTAAAAAAGAAGATTCTTCAACAAAGACGAAAAAGTAAATAAAGACTAGCCGAATGACCTTGTCTATAGGATGAGGTGATGCTTCATTTCCATTCTGCCGGCTACCAAAAGACTGGCTTCGCCCCATATCCTGATTAATAGACCAAAAAGTAGTGACCGTTTATCAGTGAATGTGAAATCTACACAGCAGTACTGTTTCACGTCTGCTATTATTCTTCCATGATGTGAGACATGCACCTTAAGTCAACAAAACGATGCAGCATGAAGAAAAGGTACAAGTAACCTTTTTCACCTTCTACAGTGTGAGAATGCAAAGTACATGATGGTTACAGAAACCATTTTCCTGAGCCATCACAATTTGATGAGCAATCACATCTTGTTTGAAAGATAATCAAACATATAGGCAACAATATTGAAGTCCATTGTAGATCACCACAAATCAATCAAACATGCAAGGTTCAAGTAACAAGATGAAGAAACCAAGTATTGAATTTTCTTTTTTTACTTTGCATAAGGTTGCCATTTTCTCTCCCCTTTGTAACAATCTTAGCAATGATGAAAACTGATTGTAACTTCAAAAGTGGAAAACACAGGTAGCACCCAGCCTTGTTGGTAAGGTTCAGGAGGGTTGTCGACATTTTTTTGGGAAACGGTGCAAGAAAACAGAGACTGGTCATGACAAGGCTTGGGGCACGTCTGGTTTCCAGCCACAGTTTGCCACGCCTAACAATATTCAAACAAAACATTTCATGTGTGTATCTTCCAGAGTAGAACACCAGAATGGTCTGTTTGTTGAATGGATAATTATTGTCCACAAATGATAATTGTGTGTGCTTGACTGAACACTGGGAGTGGTACTTATTGAAGACAAACTGGACTGAAGTGATAAAAACAAGGGCGCAGTGTCATACAGGCTACCAATACACACAACTGCCCCTCAAACAGGCAACCATGTAAGCAAACTAAAGCATTGTTCAGATCTGTCACTGATGCTGTTTTAAGTGGTTTATCACAGATCACAATTGCTCAGTCGCCAATTCTCATGCATATAGGGGTGACCACTGTGCCACGTAAGTGTGGTGCTCCCTTTTACTGTTTTGCACACAAAGAGGGAGAGAGGGATACCAGAGGAAGGCGGGGGGGTGCTGCTGCCTGGCATCAAATATGTTGGCACTGCCAAATGCTGTGAGAATAGCCAACTCGTGTAATTTCGACCCCCCATGAATGAATTAGGCAATTACACTAACTCACATTTGTATTTGAGCACAGTTAAGTTTTTCACATACTTCAACCTGCCTCGTGAGCTGTTGTACCTCTGGTGCAATTTACCCTTTTCAAAATAATAATGCCGACTAACAAATTATTGATTCCGCGGCGTGTGAACAACCAAATGCATCATAGAAAAGCCAAATCTGCCGACAAATACTAGTATCTAAAGGATAGCCGGAGTTAAGGAGGTTACATGATCAATTGTAGTGGTGCTGGCAGGTGCTTCATCTTTGTCCCCACCAGGAGGGCCAGCTTCAGGCTTTCGTCCTTCTTTGAGAGCTTTTCTAATTTCAGCGGCTTTCCAGATGGCATATTTCTGCTTCTGCTCAAGCTGTTAAAGGCCAGTTAATGCATAAGTACATACATACATTCTGAAAGTTTCAACATTGCACAATGAAATTGTAGACATTAGCGTATCAGGCTTAAATCAAGAGACACTTACATCAGGTTGAAGCTCGCCAAACTGACTGAGAATCTCAAAAAAGATGCTGGCAGCATAGAAAGTTTTTGCAGTGTTTCTGCAAAATGTGCAGGTTTGTTTGAGGTGCATTAGTGAGATTACAAATGGCTAATCCTGATATGACTGAAACAGAATAAGAAGAGTTCAATATAATACATGTCAGCTCGTCCAGCACGATCCTGTTTGTCTGCTTTAGCAAAGACACTTGATGCAAACCCCTCCAAATGAAGATGGTCATCAGGCCCCAAGGTCAAAGATTTCTTATCCTGGAGGATGCAAAACTTAATTAGGACAATAAACCTGAGAGAAGTGAACTTACTAATCTATATATACTGGAGCAGATTAAGGGTGTGATAAAAAGGATTGTTACTTCAAAACAGGCAAGTGAGCAAGTGGCAACACTTAACATCACAAGCCCAAAATCCATCCAATCATGTAGCACTACCACAACATTTGGAACCAGTGGGTGGCATCAAAGCGGTCACAAGACAGGGAGAACACAGCACATACACTAATATTGATCCATTGGAGTTTGATGCCAATGGAAGATCAGCCCATATTGCTGAGTGGTTCAGTTACTTGATTGCAAGAATCAGTATAAATTCAGGTGGAGTCAATTCCGAGGATTCCAATGGAAACATGGGACTTCATAAATTATTCACTGCAGTGCACTTGCATGCTAACAGCAAAATCACCATACCACTCAAATGATAAATATCCGTATTCTTCTTACAGGCGGCTAAATACATCGTCGTTCTCGTTCCCAAACCCTTAATGCAACGAACGCAACAGATCCAAAGTAAATTAGAGTCCACAGCTGCTTAGTATCCCCCTAAGGAAACGAGCGAAAGTAAAAGGGGGCAGATGTGTACAACACCTTCTCGAGCTGGTTGATGAGGGAGACGAGGATGGAGTTGGTCATCTTGGTGCGCTCCTTCTGCGGGATCACCAGCCCCTTCTCCATCGCGTACAACCGACCTGTTCAAACCAAAACCAAACCAAATCTCAGATCGAACCCTAGCAATCAGCGGCGATCGCCGCAAGGCAGATAGACGGCGGGGCGTCTCTCACAGTAGTACGCGACGAGGGGCTCGTGCTTCTGCAGCTCGTCGGCGCGCTGCAGGTAGGGCAGCAGCCCCTTGGCCGGCTCCGTGCCGCTCCCCATCGGCCGCAGGGGGGACGGCTGCCTCGCTGCGGGAGAGGGATATCGCCGGAGGCGGAGGTGGGAGATTGGGAGTTTGTGTTCGGGGAGGCGGCGATTTGGTTGGGTTTTGTTGGATTTGGGTAGGTTTTCTGCTGTGGGAGTCGTTGCTAGGATGCCGCAGCTTCGTCAGGAAGGAACCGTAGAGGTGGGAGGGAGGGAAGGAGAAGCTTCTTTCCGATCGTGGGGCTGGGGTGGTTTTTTACGCGAAGGTTCCTTGCATTGCTGCGTATTTGCACCCCGCTCCTTCCGTGGTCTCACTCGCCGCCCGTCTGATTCCGGTCCCGTGCCGTGAGGAACGATCGGGGAAAATATACCGTTAATATGGGGCCGCCCTGGCTTGTTTTATCCTGCACTTCTCGTTTGGTTGGGCAGATCCACAAAAAATGCAAGTGTGTGTTTGGTTTGTCTCATAAGATTGACCGTAACGGATCGGTTCAGTTCCAAGAGGCCATATGTGTTCATTCAACTTGACAGCGGGTCCACCACGTCTCCCTCAAGGGGCGACCGAGAGGCGATCGGAAGGCGGCGCCTAGGGTTAGGGTTTTGAACGTGGGTGGCGGTGATCCTCAGGGCAGCTGGGGCGTAGCGACGGCGCTGCATCCTTGGCTTGGTCCTGCGTTTGGCTACCCTACTGGACTAGGTGCTCAT